GTCACCTACAGGCCAGATCTGGGCAGAGGGGCGCTTTCCAACCCCTGCTACAGGCAATAACGGGGGGATGAGCCCAACAGGCCAGAGCCCAGCAAGGCGGGTGGTACAGAAAAGCAGTCCTTGTACAAAACAGCCCCAGTCTAGACCTCTTGGGGCTCCAGCACCCCAAACAATACCCCTGAGCTGCTGAGTCCCAAGAATCGGGCCTAGCTGGCAGAGTTGAGAGTCCCCTCCCACGGAAGATCCCTGACAGGTCTCTCCAGGGCCCCAGTCTGTCCCCCACAGTTCTCAGGACCGGCCGGCCGTGTCCAGGGCCTGCTCTCCAGACTTCTTCCCCCACTCTCCCTCTGCCACGAAGACACTCAGGCTTCTCCTAAGCCCCCTCCCGCTCCTAGGCCCTGCACCAGCCTCTGCTGGTCTGCCTGCTTCTAATTGTCCCGTCATGGTGAGAGGTAGCTGCCCATCAGCCGGCTGACGGAGTCCAGGCTGCTTGCTCTGGCTGCCAGGGGGAAATGGCAGATCCAGCCCTGCTGTTCTCCGCCCCTTCCTTCTGCATGCCCACAGGCAGCTGGGACCTCACCCTTCTCCCCCCTGCCAGGCCCAGCGCACCCGCCTCCCATCTCCCTCCCTGGCAGTCCTCCGGCACCCACGGCCTGTGCCACGTCCTTGGCATCCAGGTTCTGCTCTAACCCAGGCTCACGAGACAGCAGCTCACCTGGTGCTTGGCAGGTGCAGGTGCTCAGCGACTGTGTCCGGGATGGCGGGTTCGTCTGTTCATTGGCGTGCTGGGCTGAGTCCGTGTCCGCGCTGGGTGCAAACGCACCTCCGTGATCTGTTGCACGTGCTGCCATTTCTCTGCCTCGGAGAGGCGCCTCGTGAGCCCGGCTGGTCTGCAAGTCAGTCATTATAGGAGCCTGTCTTTAATCAAAGGCCAGCGCAGGAGCGGGTGAAGGAAAGCGCGGTACGTGGTGCCCGTGGAGTCGGCGGCCGCAGGGCTGTGTCGAGCAGTCCTCCTGGTGTGATTAGCTCCCACGTTAGGGTCACCGCCCCCACAGCGCTTACATCCGCGGCAGTTCTAATCAGTGGTGTGGATCATTTTACGGCTCTGGGTTCTGGCCCTCGAAGCAGTACTTTCTATTATGGGCCTAATAATCATTCACTCCCTTTTGTGGAAGTGGCTTACCGAGCAGTGTCCTCTGCTCACAGCTGGCTGGAAGGGGCTGATGGGGCAAGAAGGTGTGACCGGGACTAGTCTCTGCAGAGCCCCAGCTCCTCCACCCACGGAGGCGCCCCCTCGTGGTACTAGCACCCACGGGATCCAGAGGGAGAGCCTCATGAAGGTTCGGGAGGATCCCTCCTGGGTCCTCTCTGTGGACCTGAGACCTTGCAGAGCACCCTGAGACAGTGGAGCAGGCTGGGGGAAGGGCCGCCCCC